TAGCTGGCTGCCTGTACACTGTGTGCAGTCTAGTACCAAGAGTCCATAAAACGCGTGGTTTTAATAATATGGACTCTTGCTAGTACTAGTACTAGCACTAGTACAGTAGTAGCAGGGGTTCATAGGCCGATGATATGATAGGGTTTATGAACCCCTGCTGTGTAGGCCTTGACGGATTATGCTAGCATAATTTTTCGCATAATGCCTACCAAAATCGAATAATCGCATAATTCGAGGCAAATTGCATACGAATCGCATAAAATTGTAATAATCCGCCTGTTCGCATCAAATTCCATACAGTTGTACATGTTCTACAAGTACAAGTACAAGTAGATGCACTAGGAAGTTGTAGGTTTACGACTCCCTTGATAACATGTCCAGTCCACTACAATCAGTGATGGTCGTAGCTAGGTCGGACGGTGCGTTGACCCCGTTGAACTTTTGCTACTACAGTACAACGCCCTCTACAAAAAAATTCCCCTGTTATTTTGCACAGAACCATTATGCATTAGCAGAATATGTGAGCATAATGCGGCATAATATGGTAACTTTTAGCATAAAAATAGCATAATTCTGCAATTTTTTCAGCAATGCGAAAAGCATAATTTCACGAAAATATTAGCATAATCCGTCAAGGCCTACTGCTGTGTAGTATAATTATTATAATAATTATTATGTGTGCAGCATCCAAGTGAAATAATGAAGCCCATATTGTGAATGTCGTTTCGTTTGAGGGGGGAGGGAGGGGGGTCAGGCCCGAAACTCACGGTCTTCGTTTCGGGGGCTTCTGCGAACTTTTGCGATGGTCCCTTACACGGGGGGCTTACTGCCACCATAACACCTAAAACTAGTGCGACGAGAAAATCGCTGCAGATCTGTCGGAAACCATGTCGGCCGGAAAATCGGCCTACAAAAATGTGAAACAGGCATAAGACATGTAGGCTGTAGCTACATCATGTAGCTAGCTGTATCTACTTTACATGTAGAGTCTGTTCACATGGTTCACACACGTAGACTCTACACGTAGATCTACACGTGGGCCATGGGGCACAGCATGCGCGTACGCGTACCTAGTACCTGTACTGTAGTAGACGGTACAGACACTACTACGCGTCCCAGCTCCAGTGTACACGCAGATTTACTAGTAGATCTACGGGGGAAATAGATTTTGTTTTCTGATGATCGCTTAGTGCGTGAAACTCTGAGTAAAAACACTTCCTCTGTCCTCCTATTGTTTGATTGTTTGATTTTGTTTTTAAAGGGGAAGTGCATCGATTTTTCGAGTATGGTCCAGAAGAAAGACAATTTGATATCGGTTCGAATGGCATATCTCTCGTTTCCATACGATAAGCCAAACTTGCCAAATCGCCAATTGTATACTCACGTTGCCATAGCGACCAGCGCAGTGATGACGTACGAAAGGCTTAGCTCCACCACAGAGAAGGTCGATCACTGCAGAATTTGGTCATTTTCAATTGGTTTATTGTATTCACGAAGTGAAAGAAGGGCTGTGTTCAATGCTGTAAGTGCAGTGAACTGTTTGTTAGTAGTCCTCTCGGTTGTGTACTGGGACGTGACACCGACAGGAGAAAAGCTGGAGCGCGGAGACACCAGCAGGCAAGCGAAAATAGTGACGAACAAAATGCTGAAATCTTGGTTGGGACAAATGAGACGTTCAGCATTTCCCCCAACCAAGGACCATGCCGTTTGCTCTTTCCACGTCCTGAAGATGAATGTGATGCTTCCTGGTGACTCTCCTATCTCTTGTAACATCTTCTGAAGCCAGGTGAGACGACAGGTGGTGGAGATTGACGAATGAAATAATGTCGTAGGTTTGAAAGTTTGCTGAAAATGTCTCAGGAGAGACGGCGAATTCCAAGCATCTTGTCCTGGAGGTAGGCCTTGACAGATTATGCTAATATTTTCGTGAAATAATGCTTTTCGCATTGCTGAAAAAATTGCAGAATTATGCTATTTTTATGCTAAAAGTTATCATATTATGCCGCATCATGCTCACATATGCTGCTAATGTACATGTACAGTATAATTATGATGGTTCTGTGCAAAATAACAGGTGAATTTTTTGTAGAGGGCGTTGTACTGGAGTAGCAAAAGTTCAACGGGGTCAACCCTAGCCCTTTCTCAAAGGTGCTCGCCCTTTTTTTCGCCCTTTTTCGCCCTTTTTGGAAAAGCCCGTTTCTTTGGCTTTTTGTAAATATCGCTCTTTTTGAGCTTTTTTAGCTGAAAGAGTGCTAAAATCTGTTTGCTCATGCATGCGATCACAGTTCCCGAGTGCTCGATGGGCCTCGTGCCCTCAGCACGCCGTTTTTTTTGGAGCAACAAGTTGGTGAAGCTTGTACCCGGTGTACACAAATAATAATTGACTCAACGCACCGTCCGACCTACATGTAGCTACGACCATCACCCTGGTCACTGATTGTAGTGGACTAGACTGGACATGTTATCAAGGGAGTCGTAAACCTACGCCTTCCTGGTGCGTCTACTTGTACTTGTACTTGTAGAACATGTACAACTGTATGGAATTTGATGCGAACAGGCGGATTACATGTATTCCAATTTTATGCGATTCGTATGCAATTTGCCTCGAATTCTGCGATTATTCGATTTTGGTAGGAATTATGCGAAAAATTATGCTAGCATAATCTGTCAAGGCCTACCTGGAGGAAACCATTTCCTAGGCACAGTCAGCCTAGGGAAATGCATGAGAAGGGCGACAAATAGTTCACGGCACTAACAGCATTGAACACAGCCCTTCTTTCACATCGTGAAAACAATAAGACAATTGAAAATGACCAATTTCTGCAGTGATCGACCTTCTCTGTGGAGGAGCTAAGCCTTTCGTACGTCATCACTCCGCTGGTCGCTATGGCAACGTGAGCATACAATTGGCGATTTGGTAAGTTTGGCTTATCGTATGGAAACGAGAGATATGCCATTCGAACCGATATCAAATTGTCTTTCTTCTGGACCCTACTCGAAAAATCGATGCACTTCCCCCTTAACTAAAACTTTCTACACGAGCTACATGTATACAGCCAGTACTAGCCCTTTCCCTAAGATGCCATAGTTTTTCGCAACTTATGCTTTTCGCAACCGTGCCAAAACAAGTGCTAGTTGCTGAAATCGCATCCATATTTTCAGAAAAAGCTCAAAGTTGCCAATGTCGCAACTCAAAATTGGAGAGTTCTTGTGCAAAACCTACAAAACAGGGAGCAGAAATGCAGCGACGCTACGACAGCAAACTCGTACACCCCTTCCTGCTGTGGCACCACTTTACACATTGCCAGTAGCCTGTTGCATGTATCCTACATGTACATGTGCATCATTACAGTGCACGGAAAAGGGAATGCACATATTTATCGTAACTACCGTTGATCTACTGTTTCTCAGAAATGAGCCTGAAGGCAAGCGAGAAATGAGCGAGCAAGAGTATGCATTTGGCCAACAATGCAATATATACATGTAGTGCCATGGGGCCAATTGCGCCAAGGTTGCGGAGAAGTTTCGAAATAGTTCCGGAAAATGAAGAAAGTTGCGATTTCTTCCTAACAAAGAAAAGTTCCGAAAAATGGGGCGAGCATCTTTGGGAAAGGGCTAGCCAGCACAGGGCCAATAAAATACATGTACAAAGGTAGCCCTTGGCGGACTATGCTGGTGTTAGGTACATAATTTCCGGCATAATCTTCGAATTTTGTCAGAAATTGTCTCTGTGAAGACATCACCAGACAAGGGAAAATAGTGAAGGACATGTACATGCGGATAAAAGCCCAACAAGTCGCCACCGTGGACCAGTACTGCTCCCCTGCTAAATCGAATGCATGTATGTGATCTACAGGTTTCTGTGCACTTGAATATGTTGTGTTTCATCTGGCGATGTTTGCATGATGCATGTAGCACCCTGTTTGAGTCCTTTTTTGCTGTCGTGCCCTCAACTCGCACTCGGGGAAGCCAAAGCAACTTGCTTGTGGTCCCACCTGCTAGCACTGCTCGTTCTGCTAAGCGCCTAACGCACGCTGGAGCCATTATGTGGAATAGATTGCCATCAGCAGCAAAATGTTCAAATAGGTATTTGGATTTTAAATCTCAAGCCTTGCAGTATATATTATCAGCGACATAGGTTTTCCAATGCTTACTGGATTGATATCTGTTCGTTGCAACCAACCTTCCGTCATTTTTTCCTTTCTCTTTTTCTCTTGTATCTACTTTTTTTTTTTTTTTTTTTTTTTTTCTCCACAATATCCTTTAACATGTTATTCACAGTGGGTCCAATGTTATTAGGCATTTTGCCTGTTTTGATTTCCACTATAAATAAAGTATACAACAACAACAAACAAGAAAATGCGGTATGCCACCCTCACGGTCTAATGTAGGCTTTCCCCCTAATCGGCCCGTTTTTCGCCTATTCGGCTTTTCGCCCGGCTCAAAATTAAATCAGATTCGGCCGCAAAATCAGCTAATTGTTCAAAAATCGGCTGGAAAATTGGAATATAGTGGAAAATATAGCTATGAATAGGATGAAGGCCGCAGACATCACGCAACTACGTTACTTGTTCGACATGTATGACTGTGTATTTCATAACAAATATTATAGTATTGAAACGAGAATCGATTTTCTCGTTCCTATCATCGGTGGGGAAAATACGGAACTAAATGATACAACCAAAGAAACTGAAGTTAAGCGCTGTAATAGAAAGGTGTTAGAAATGACATCATGACACAAGTGCAATAAAAACACTAGAGGAAAAGCAAAAAGGTAACAAGAATACGTAACCAAAGGTGACAAGGCACTGAACGAAGTGTCAACCTACGAATACAACCTCAGTGCGACAACGTGCTCTTTCTGCTTACACAAAACAGGCTTATGAATACGTATACAAACTGCCTCAAGGACTTTCAACTGTTGGACATGCGCACGACACAGTGCAGAAAAAATGAGAGTCATCATACACACGAAGACAGTCAGGACGAGATAACAAGACTTAGTGTAGATACACAGCCGACTTCTTACGATCAACACATTCATCCGCCTCATCTCGCTCTCTCCCATCCGACTCCTCCTCGTCCATCTCATCGTCCTCTTCCTCGTTCCACTCGTCATCCTCACGATCATCCTCACTACCATCATCTGCCTCGTCCTCTGTCTCTTCACCAACCGCTTCATCATCCAATTCCCCCTCCATCCACTGATCATCCGTCTCATCCTCCGTTTCTGTACAGATCACTTGTCTCCCATTTGCTAGCTGCTCGTCCCGTGACCGGAGTTGTTCCTCCAGATCCGCTTCACTCAATGACTCATGATACTGCTCGACCCTCCTCCTGTTGTTACTGTCCGCAACGGGCGGTCCTTGGCCGTTTCTGGCATGAATCTCTGTGGAGTAGTTTTCTGTTGCCCTCCGAGGTCTCTGGATTAAGGGTGTAGATTCAGTGAGAGGTCTGCATTGCCTGTCTTGCTAAGTAGGTGCTGCGGGCGCCGTGGCAATTCGTGTGAGAGTTGGTGATGCCAGCGCGGGTGTAGGTGGATCCACCCCATCCCCCGCCACAAGCAGAGCCGGTGGCGGTTCTGGTGGTGGCAAGGGCAATGTTTGTTTTCCACTCAGCTGCTGACCCTGTACGCCCTGCTCGCTCCCACGCCTCGAATGGCTTAGTTCTGCCCACTGTCAGCTCACGCTATGGTTCTGTGTCCTTGTTTGTTCTTGCCCACAATAGGTGGAATAGCCTTCCACCCGCTGTTCGCTCCACATAACGTTATGAGAATAATCGCTCCTGCTCTTGTACCAGTTGACCACTCTCATGTGGGTTAGGGTCTTTGCTGTTTGCGTTATGCAGAGCTCACTGACTTGTCAGTTTGAGCACTCTGGCAAGGTACGCTCGGGCCTGGTTTAAATCTGGCTTTGGGAAATTTACTTTCCATTGCTATCAGGCTCGGCCTCATTTTCTCTATGCTGTGCTGATGAGTCCACAAATGACGAAACAGTTCTGTCCGCAGATTGAGTAACGTTATGATAACTGTACAGAGGAACCTTAAGAGAGCATGTCTGAGAAAACCAGAACATATGTGCAAGTCGATCTCTCAGATTTCGCTCAAATTTTGCAGGTAGGTTTGCTTTGGGGTGTAGATCGACATTCCAAAGCCCGCGCAAAATCTTTTGAAGGGAACCATGAAATTGGCATACACCTCAATATTGGCCCAATATTGGCACGATTTATGGGTCTACAAACGAGCCACGGCACAGCGTACAAGACCAAGCTACGAACAAAACTCCATCAAGCCATCATTACCTCACCTTAGAAGAGTTCTTGGGGCAGCACCACTTAGCCACGCCAGCATACCAGAAGACGAGGGAAATCATCCCTTGACGCCACAAATGATCGTCTTGAAAATAGCCAAATTACAAGCGCTGATAAAACAGCGAGCTACGTCCTCAATTAGCAAACACTATACACCGGCAGATAGTAGAACACCTCTTCTAGCACTGAGGACATGTCCCCCATCATCCTTTTGGGATTTTCTTGAAATATACAATTTTGAATTTTTCTACTCGACCATTCTGAAATACGTCCAAACTCATACCTGCGCAGGAAAGCTCGCCCCTCCGCGACGTCTAGTCAGCAATTTCTACTCCAACACCACTCCCAACGCTGCAGAACAAAGTGTATTGTTGACTCTGACAAGGAAAGCAGCGGTGATCACTTGTTACTCCAAACGACAAGCTTCTCCTTGCGCCACCAACATTTTTCGTTGCAACAGTTGATGCAAAAGTGACTGAATTTTTGCGTGTAGTTTTTGGATTTTACTTCAAGAGGAATGATGAAATCACGTGCCTCGTGACACAAGAATGCCAGGTCTCGTAGATCACGGTTCAGCAGTTGTTCCGAGTCACCTTGATCAAGCGCTCCTGCACTTACATGGATAACCCGTTGATCTAGATCGGATCAAGTGCATCTTGATGTCCAGCTCAAGAGCACGCATGTCGTGTTGTAGGCCTTCCAGCTGGGACTTTCCCTCAACATGCAGCATAGAGACTATGGCGAGTAGGGTCAAATCACGTTATTCATGACGTAAGAAATCTGCCATGTGCCATGTGGGCGCGCCACATACTTCATGCAACCAGTGTTGGCCGCGCGCTGGTCAACTCCAAGCGACCTTGATGGCATGGACCACGCTCATTCCTTGCTGATGCAAATCTACGTGGATCATCAGCATATATAAACCAGCCGTAGTTTCTGTTGAACCATGTTCGGGATGAGCGAGGTTAGTGTGAAAAAATGCATCCCTGTTCTTACTGCAAGAGGAAATATCTCCAAGAATTATTGCCAATGCAATACTGCTAGCGTTATAACGATAGTGTCTGCATGTTCTGAGCAGAGCATGCAAGAAATATAATGCATCTTACCTCCTCCCTCATGGTCCGTTTCGAATAGCGCCTCCGGAACGATCGTGATCGTGTGCATTGTGTCGTGTACCAGAAAGCATTATTCTACGTCACGATCCACGTGATTTCTTCATTCCTCTTGCAGTAAAATCCAAAAACTACACGCAAAAATTCAGTCACTTTTGCATCAACTGTTGCAACGAAAAATGTTGGTGGCGCAAGGAGAAGCTTGTCGTTTGGAGTGACAAGTGATCACCGCTACTTTTCCTTGTCAGAGTCAACAATACACTTTGTTCTGCAGCGTTGGGAGTGGTGTTGGAGTAGAAATTGCTGACTAGACGTCGCGGAGGGGCGAGCTTTCCTGCGCAGGTATGAGTTTGGACGTATTTCAGAATGGTCGAGTGGAAAAATTCAAAATTGTTTATTTCAAGAAAACCCCAAAAGGATGATGGGGGACATGTCCTCAGTGCTAGAAGAGGTGTTCTACTATCTGCCGGTGTATAGTGTTTGCTAATTGAGGACGTAACTCGCTGTTTTATCAGCGCTTGTAATTTGGCTATTTTCAGGACGATCATTTGTGGCGTCAAGGGATGATTGCCCTCGTCTTCTGGGATGCTGGCGTGGCTAAGTAGTGCTGCCCCAAGAACTCTTCTAAGGTGAGGTAATGATGGCTTGATGGAGTTTTGTTCGTAGCTTGTTCTTGCACGCTGTGCCGTGGCTCGTTTGTTGACCCATAAATCGTGCCAATATTGGGCCAATATTGAGGGGTATACCAATTTCATGGTTCCCTTCAAAAGATTTTGTGCGGGCTTTGGAATGTCGATCTACACCCCAAAGCAAACCTACCTGCAAAATTTGAGCGAAATCTGAGAGATCGACTTGCACATATGTTCTGGTTTTCTCAGACACGCAATCGCGGCCGTGGGTATTTCTGGCATAGCCCTGGCTTGGTTGCAGTCATACCTCCGTGGACGGCAGCAGCGCGTGGTTACCTACATCGGAACGTCTCCTCTGGTACCAGTTACTAGTGGCGTACCTCAAGGCACCATTCTGGGCCCTGTGCTCTTCAATTTATATGTGCGGAAGCTGCCGCTCACAGCTGATGCTCTTTCCTGCAAGCTGCCGATGTTCGCGGATGACATGACGCTGTATGCCAGTAGAAGGTCGCCAAATGAAGCTGTCGGTGCCGTCAACAAGGTACTTTCAGTGCTTGCTCTAGATCTTGCGGACCTAGGGTTGTCAGTCAACTCTGCCAAAACTGTCGCCATGTTCATTTCCAAACTCCCCCTGCACCTGTCTGTTTCTGTGATACTCAACGATCAGGTATTGACCCGCGTTACCAGCACCCGAATCCTGGGGGTCATCATTGATGACCGCCTAACGTGGTCGCCTCACATTGACTTTGTAATTCGCAAGACATGTGCTAAGGTTGGCGCTCTTCGTCGGTCCTTTCGGCAATTGAGCAGGAAGGCCAGGAGGCAATTTATTGTATCAGTCATTCTACCTGATCTTTTGTACTGTTGTTCGTGTTTTGTAACGAAGCTGTCCGCTAAGGACCGCCAAAGGCTCTCTACTGTGTTCCGCCGTGCTGTGCGAGCTGCCTGTGGTGCTAAGTCACAGGACGACATCACGCCATTATTGACCACATTGGCGATTTATCCATTTGAACACTATAATTATGATTCTCAACTTTGCCCAGTTTATTCATAGAAAACATGTCATCATCTCACTGCCTACCCTTACGGAATTATTTCCACCGATCACAACAAGCCTTAGAACTAGAAGCCACTCTAATGCTTCCATTGCCATATCTAAGCACCGGACAACTGATGGAGTAAATTTTTTTTCTAATCGTGCCGCAATTTTCTTTAATACACTACCTGCCGAGTGGCGCAGACACCACCGTACCTCTACATTTGCAAACCAACTCAGGGATCTTTTTAAAGACCCAGTGGCGTTTAAGAAGTATTTTGACCTTCTTTTTGGAATCTGTTGAGTTTCTCGATGATCTTGATAGTTCTTGTACTAAGATTGAAGTTGACTTGGTGTTTGATTACTGTACTGCTTGATGTCTGAATTCCAATTTTTTTCTATTTTTTCTTTTCCTTTCCTTTCCACTTATCCCGTTATCGGCCCTCTTAAGAGTTGTGTGTATCACTGTTGAGGCATCCGATGGTAAATAAAATAAATACTACTACTACTACTACATGCTCTCTTAAGGTGGTAGACTACCCGAAAATTCGCTGAAAAGTTGAATTTGTATATTCATATTGAGTGCTACATCAGTTGAAAGTGCATGAATAGCTGCAAATTCTCTGAAGATTTTGTCCCGATCTGCCCAGCCGTTCAAGAGTTATGGCCGAAGATGTGCCCTTGCAAGGAAAGATTTTTTTGTCGCACGCTGTCATTTGTTGGCAGCACTGTATTTGAATGTGAGCAGACCGTGCGCAACTTGTCGTATCATGGAAACACGCGAAAGTGTGCAGAATTTTGCTCCAAGTCCAAAAAATCACGTTTTTGAGCCACGTATTGGGCTGCACGGACTTTTGCCAGCACCCTCGTGACGTTGCATGTATGTGGCTTGATTATTGTAGTTGACGTTGATTTAGTGACTTTGGCAAGTTTGAGTCGTGTCAAGAAGTCAGGTAGGATTCAGTACTAGGCAGTCGTGGAACGTGAGTGGTAGTCTTTGCCGGTTTCTGAGGGTATCCTGGATTTGGTGTGCAGCGCTGTGGAAATTGCTTGCTGTGGACGCCCCAGCACTGGATGTTGTATCAAAGGAACGACCTCGTAGCACGTGCTAAACCTAAGAAAAATTCAAAAATTGACATGGGTCTGTGGGAGTCTGTGAGAGAACGCCCACTCCTTCCGTTGTGACAGATTCCAGGGCCACGTTGAGGGGCCCTACCCCACCACCCATGGCTGCTTCTGGACTTGTTTTAGGTTTGGGTCCCGCGCACGGACAGAATGGGCACGAAAATGTGAAAAAATTGTAAATGCATTTGGTCGGCTCCTGGGTGGCTCGCACACCGTGGCACTATGCCGGAAATTTGAGTTTTTCCGGCCTGGAAAGCCTGTCAGTGAGGCGCAAGAACTTGTAAATCATGTCCTGAGGGCCAGCATAGTGGCAGGAGCGTGTGGTCAAAATTTCACTCAAATCCATTAAGAAACACCAAAGTTACGGTCAATTGAATGCCATATGAAATTTATGGGTAGGCTGCCGCCTTAACTACCGGTCACAGTGCTCAGTACACGGCGTGCGGAGCTTAGTACAAACGAAAATCCGGTGGAACAAAAGTAATTTTAATCACTTTTTGTAAAACAAATGTCTCTACTCAGGAGTTTCATGCAGAAGAGTTATGTCTCAATGTCTCCTGATGATTGAATTTCCGCATGAAACTCGTGAGTAGAGACATTAAATTTTAATCACTTTTTGTTCCACGGAATTTTCGTTTGATAATTATGTATGATATAGTAATAACATTACGTCAGATGCATCACGCTGAAACTATGGCGCAAAAGTGGCAAGTCACGTCTGAGATTGGTGCGGGTACCCTGTAGGAAGGCAAACCGCATGTGGGACCGGCGCTAGTAATTCTAGGCTAGAGAGCATGGCAGGGAGAGCCCTATGGCTTGGTAGTGCCCGACAGGTTAGCCTGAGGGCTAATCTGAAGGGCACAAACAAGCCATTAGACCCGACCTACCATTTATTTATTTATTTCTGCACCTCGTGGCATGTCAAGACAGCCAATTGAATTGAGGAGAGGGTGAGACCAACCACGGAAGAAGAGAAAAAAAGAAAATGAAAAGCACGTACACAAAGTGGGAAGGGATTAGCAACTTACAAAGCAATGGGATGCGCAGCGAGCTATGCAGCGGAAGTGGGGACTGTGACTTTGTTTACTGGGAGATACTGAAGTGCTGTCTGACGAGGGTACGGAATTCCATGCACAACCTATTTTAGAACGGGGTTACATGACATTATATTATCTCCATTGCATCGTATCCTTATATTGGTTATATTGGGTTTTGTGGTTTGTTTGCAAAGACAATTGGTGAGGCGTGAAAGAACATTGTCTTCTGGTAAGTCAACAGCACTGAGCACTACTAAAAAGGGAATATAAGCAAATGAAATGCTGGGCTCTTATTGTGAGCTTCATTTATATTCATACATGTGGCTTCGAGAACTCCCTTTCCGTACATATAATGAGTTCGATCTTGGGGTTTTATAGGGTTCCGCCAGCTGTGGTCCAGTGTGGGCAATGGGAAGTTGTACAGGTGAAAGAGTACGGGAGGCAAAACCGTACAAACTTCCGAAATGGGTAGCTTTTAGTAGTACACCGTATATTCTATACAGATTTCATTACTTCGTACGTGCGGAAAAAGATATAATTTTTTTATTTTTAACACAGCCCTACAAAAAGACATGTTGAGACAAACACAATAATAATATCAATAAAGACATTGCCGAACCACCGTGCTCACAGGAGAGACTTCTGTGGGTGTTATTGTTGTAAAAGTGGACAACAATAGCAGCAGAAGGTGCAGCAGAACAGAAGCAGCAAACTATTGAATACACCAACATGTATTCTCGAGCATACTTTGTTCTTAGAATCTAGAAGGCCAACCATCCATTGGGAATCCTGGCTTTCTTTAATCCAAGACAACTACAACATGAAAGGCAGAGAGGAATAAATCAACTCAGGTGGCAATTAGCAGTCCGAAATGACAAGTCTCTTTCCCATAGAACTTCAACACTAAAACTCAAGTGTGTTGCAGCAGACATACATACTGCATAAACAGACTAAAACAAGACAGTATTTCAGTCCCAATATCATCATTAGCAGCCTTTCAATCTTGTACACCTGCATACTCAGACAATCTCAGTGCATACATTCTCAAAGATCAAAACTTAAAGTAAAGAGTGGCTCAGAACTGGACAATCTCCACAATTGGGTGTCTTCCTTATGGCACCAAGTACTGAATGAAGTTGGAGACAAATGCTGAAGTACACAGTATCAATAGTTTGAAAAGGCTATCTGCACACTTGGATAATACAACCAGGACAAAGTTATCAATTGAACCAAACTCCAATTCCCTCTGTATTCTGCGAGAGACTGTTTTTTTGTCCTCTTCTGTGTTGCTAAAATGTGTTGAGTGTCTATCAAAAGGATATCCCATTTGCAATCTGTCTTGGTCAACATCGCAACGATCAGCTTTGAAGACAAAGTGATCTCGCTGACTAATGACATCTGCTTACTCACCAGAAGTACTGCATAAGCTAAGTTGTAGTCCTGGCTTTCTCCAATACAACACATCTTGAATACAGTCAAATGGCTGCACTTGGACCACCCAGTAGTTCAAACCCGATGGCACGGATCTTTTCCAATTACATTCAAGGACCTTTGTTGCTTCAGACATGCTTACGCCATGGACAGGTGTTGAAGCAAGACTATTTCAATCACAATATCATCATTAGCAAGCTTATAAGGTAATGTTACACACCTCCATGTTTATTCACACCTCCTTCTTCACCTGCATGTCTCTACGCAAACGTTCCCAATGAGGGAAGAAATGTAATTTTGTTCATAACTGGACGTTTTCACTTGTAATGATTGTCAACTAAGGCCCTAAGATATACCGAGTCACTGTCCTGAATATCTATAGCCACCTCTATTCATCATATGCATGCAAGACCCGACAGCACTGATCTTCAAATAACTAAGACAGTGATGCACTTGCCTTGCATTATCTTCTGTTTGGTCTCGTGTTACTCATGCTGGAGACATGTTCAATTGTACCTGTGCAGAAAATAATGGAAAAATCGAAGCAGAGGCCAACTTCTCAAAACTCATAGTCATTATGCACCATATTTGGGTGCATTTTGGAAGAATGCTGCTCCTAGTTCATGACCTAGGCCAGCAATCATACCTATGTGTAAAAATTACAACTCCCAGATGTCCTGGTTTCCCTCTGACCATGCTCACAGTTTGAGCCAAAAACACACTCTGTGCAGACTGCAAACCCACATGCAACACCACATAGAGCAACAGAGAGCAGAGAACTGGCCAGCTCTTGTTTAACTTCGATTTAATCACGTGTTTTCACCAGTATTTCCCTCATTATTATTAATTGGTAGTATTTTGAAGGAGCAAAACCTCATTGTCTAGTAGACATTTAGCATACTCAGTACATTATGTAAATCGCCCAAAATTCGCTCACGAAATTTGCTGTTTCTTAGAACCAGAGAATTTAAAACCGCAAAAGTTCGCGAAGCATTGAGGCCACATACATTATACCCACGGTTGAAGTTTAAATCGCGTTGGTTAATATTCACACAATGCTCTTCTCGGGAAAATAGTGTTCATTAATCTGCTGCGAATATGAGGCAGCTAACAGTAGACAATGGTCACTTCAGGAATTGTGCAACAGAAGGCCGTAATTGATCCCAATCAGAATTTTTTATTCATTTTTTATTCATTTTTTATTCAGATTTCTTATCCATATAACGGGGGGAATCCCGGTGACATAAAACAAGTTACTGGTTGTACTTATTAAATTCCGGGAAACTTCACTTCTTAACTCCAAAACTGTCTCTTTACTGCCGTTCAATTTAAAATAACAGTAAATTTTTCGGGCCTGGCCCATCATGAGGGTACTTACTAGAATCAAACAATGACCAAGAATGGTTGCATGGCTATAGAGCTACATGGCTGTAGGGCTGCATGCTTCAGACCTGGCACTGCAAAGAGCAGGCCGTGGCCAGACCCCATGCACCAGTCCAGTATTGTACCAGTGTGAGGGACCCAGCAGTTTCATCATCAGCAACAGCATCACACGCACTTTTCAATAAGCAAATAATTGAACACTTCCTTCTATAAGGAAATGAGGCTCGTCAACTCACAACTGCTCTATTCGAGAAGCCGCTATTCATAGCAACTGAATAGAGTGGTTGCCATTGGAACCTCCCTTCGACTATGAAAATTATATGAACAATTTAAAATAGGATTCAGTTTCAGATCTAACCAAGCAAGGTTTCTCTTTTACACAGCAATGCTCCTTTCTTTTTTCACTGCATCTTTTCACATCTCCATTCCATTCAGCCATTGTCTATCTTTGCACATACACTCCAGAGTACCCATCACCAATCAGAGCGGTTCCCTGCCTACATTTTGTCTCAATGCAGAATTAAACCTCTCACATGGTATGTGTACCACAACATCATCCGGTGTATCAAAAGTCAAAATACACTCTCACAAGTGTGTGTACAATGCTGGTCTATGAATGCATCAGAAAAATCCCCGGAAGCAAACCTGGCTGATGTCCTCACAGAGTGTGAATAGATCATAGCTTGTAAGTTACAGGTGATGATGTCATCATATGCACACACAGAACAACGAATACAAGTTATGGCAAGTGGATTAGAGGAACTGCCATGTTGATAGTTGACAAAGACATCCATTACATGTGCATAGCAGCAACGGCGGCAGCAGCACCAGTAGCAGCAACAACATCAAACAACGCAATGCCTTTTTACTTACACTTACCGAGTCCGAGTAGCATATTTCTCGTCTTTCAAAGAAGACTTTTCATTCCAGAAGTAGTTCAACAATGCAGGATACCTCCTACTCAGTCACCCACATCACATGGAGCTGACACCCCAGCAGTCCGCAGACAACAATCTCCTGAGATCACTAAGAACAGATTTAAAATTCAAGATATAAATACATGACAAAATTGCACAGTACACGTACAACAGTTTGCATCCTTTACTAGTGCCTTCTAGTGTCCTTCGAGTTACACGAGTAAAAAAAGAGAAATGACAATTTAATCTCGGCACCAACAACAGCCTAATCTTGCCAATGGCATGTTGTTCTGTGTCAACATGTCTGCCTCCACAGTATTAGCGGTACATAATGCTCTCAGCACATTCTTGTAAACACATCACAAAATTAGACAGTACATGTACTACAGCTTGCATCCTTTACTTACACTAGTCTAGTGTCCTTCTAGTGTCCTTCTAGCGTCCTTCTAGCGTCCTTCTAGCGTCCTTCTAGCGTCCTTCTAGCGTCCTTCTAGCGTCCTTCTAGCGTCCTTCTAGCGTCCTTCTAGCGTCCTTCTAGCGTCCTTCTAGCGTCCTTCTAGCGTCCTTCTAGCGTCCTTCTAGCGTCCTTCTAGCGTCCTTCTAGCGTCCTTCTAGCGTCCTTCTAGCGTCCTTCTAGCGTCCTTCTAGCGTCCTTCTAGCGTCCTTCTAGCGTCCTTCTAGCGTCCTTCTAGCGTCCTTCTAGCGTCCTTCTAGCGTCCTTCTAGCGTCCTTCTAGCGTCCTTCTAGCGTCCTTCTAGCGTCCTTCTAGTGTCCTTCTAGTGTCTTTCTAGTGTCTTTCTAGTGTGCTCTTCTTCGCAAAACGACCTCGGGGAAAGAAGAAACCATTGAGATCGCCAACCACTGAATGATGCGCCTTCGAGTGTCAGGACTTCCTGCTGCGTCCAGTTTTGAACTTTTCACCACGCGGTACACGTGCTTTCACAGTTTTTGCAGTGCAAACTGCAATGAAAAGATCGCCGCACCCCGCCGGACGAGCGTTACGAACGCAACGAAAATTTGTCGCACTAGCCTGGTCGCGCGTTACGCCGCACCCCCCCCCCTGCGTTACGCGTTACGCGGCAACATAATATTGTCAGCACGGTAGTGTCCTTCTAGTGTCCTTATAGTGTCCTTCTAGTGTCCTTCTAGTGTCCTTCTAGTGTCTTTCTAGTGTCCTTCTAGTGTTCTTCGAGTTGCACGAAAGAGAAATGATAATTTAATCTCGGCACCAACAACAGCCTAACCTTGTGCATGGCGTTTGTTTCTGTGTACTATGTCTGCCTTCACGGTATTGACGGTATTCTGTACTCTCAGCACATTCAGTGGCTGCATCCTCCCACCCGTACATATGTATAGCTGTCAGTGTTTCCAGGTTGCCCGGAATCCCCTTGTGGCGAGCAGCGCAGATGCCGAAACCTTTTGAAAATATGTCCTATAATACAAAATTCGTAGATGTGAATGAACAAGAACACATTGACAATGGTCATCTTAAGTCCCAGATGGGGCCTCTCAGAAGCTTGGAATTTGAATATCTTCTGAAACACTTTTGCGGGGCTCTGCCCCCCCCCCCCCCTCTCCCCACCCCATTATCTACACCTGGGACACCCCAGATCCCATCCCGGTAACCCATTCACACACCCTTCCAGCTACGGGCCTCTGGTAAATCAATGAATACCTAATAACATCTACTCGCTAACAAACGTATGACACGCTTCGTTGTACACCTGGATTCCTACAACTCCAGATATCTGTAATATGCAGGCAGTCAAAAAAAAGAGTAAGTACATAGTTGGACAACACCTTCTATTCCGGAATATCATGGCTCTTTTTCAATATCATTTTTCACATTTAAACTCAACAACATTTTTTGTATTGCTTCAGACATGCACACACTGTATAGACATGTTGAAACCAGACTAATACAGTAAGAACTTCATCATTAGCAACCTTGCAAACTTACACTTTCTGTTCATTGTCCTTCACACATCAATCAATGATCTCAGTACATACATTCTAAATGATCAAAGCAAAAAGTAACACCGATCAAAACTGGACATTTTCATAGTACAAGTTGTGATCTAAGGCCATCAGTTTAATACTGAATCACCTCAGTATTAATAACCCAATACCACTGAAAACATCTGGTTGTGAACAGAGGAAAGCCTTTGTGGTAGAACACAAAAGCCTGTTGGTCAGTGACAGCCAAAATGGCTACAGGTTTGCAGAATTTATGCATCTGACCAACATCAAAGGTAAATTTCAGAATCAGATAGGTTTAATATAGCTGCCAATCGCCCTAACGTATGCCATATGCACTTTGTCTACAACCTCTGCACAACCCTTCGCGCCATGCACTGTTACATACAACTGGTCTGACAGGGGTGCATGCATCAGAACAGATACTTATCCTATGGTTATCCTGCCAAATAGCTGTAGCTACCTCTATTCATCATATGCATGTCTGTACTAGGATGTGCATTACAAGAACACCTATATGGCTGGAGATTGGTGTACTTGCCTGTTCAATATACCTGTGTGTGATCTGATGACATTGCCGGCAATGAGATGATGGAAGGAGATCCTGGATGGACACTTCAGCTTCACTGTTTAGGGAATAATGTGAACAAAAGACAAAGCAGACTGATTGAACTTACCAACATGCTAAGCTACAAGCTTGCACTGACTGTTATCAACACAACTGCTCTCATAGAGCGTGTACGTGATGAAAATGATACGG